TAATTGTAATATTAATGCTCACCATGTCGCAGACGCAACCTTAGATGGGTGAAGTTTACAAAACATTTTAACCCGTCAAAAACACGGATTTCAGTAAAAAAAAATATAAATCTAGTGTTAAATAAAAATTTGTCGTTTTTTGTTCCCTGCTTTCGCGAAAGAGGGAAACGAGAAGAGAGCTAGGTCTAGGGAAATTTGTTTCTCATAAATACCAGATTATTCTTAGGACCAATTAATACTAATAATAATAATTGTAATATTAATCCTTACCATGTCGCAGGCGCAACCTTAGATGGGTGAAGTTTACAAAAAATTTTAACCCGTCAAAAACACGGATTTCAGTAAAAAAAAATATAAATTTAGTGTTAAATAAAAATTTGTCGTTTCTTGTTCCCTGCTTTCGCGAAGGAGGGGAACGAGAAGAGAGCTAGGTCTAGGGAAATTTGTTTCTCATAAATACCAGATTATTCTTCAATTAATACTACTAATAATAATTGTAATATTAATGCTCACCATGTCGCAGGCGCAACCGCTTAGATGGGTGAAGATGTGGCAAATGGGGAAGCTGTCGTTCACCTTAAAAATGCCGATCTTTAACAATGCCTTCTTCATTTTGTTGACAAGCTCCTCGGTGGGCATGGAGAAGTGTATGGACTGGCCGCATCTGAATCCGTAAACGTAAATCGTCTCATTTTTCAAGGAACGTTCGCGCTCGTTGACCTCGGTCGGTGGGAAATTAATGAACGCAACTTTCACAACGAGCTTCGCCCCGTTCGTGTCTATGTAAACGTCTTTGTTCAGCATCAATTGCTCCACGTAAATGTCTAAAAGGTACAATCCGATCATAATTGAAATTTATCCACATCTTGCGCGATTCGGATTTCCTAGGTTATGAAATACTTGAGAATTTTTCCAATTTTGTGCGTGAAGTTGCGCACGAATTTCCTCTCCTTCTCCTCCTCCTCCTCCTCCTCCTTCTCTTTTCGTGGAATCAAGCGGGGAAAGAAATTTTTGGATTGTGTTCTCGATTCCATTTTCCTCGTTGAATTCTACGTGAAGAAAAATGAAATTCCAAATGGAGAAATATTGATATTTATGAATTGTAGGTGGTTATTGTGAATGTAAATCAATCGTGGAAAACAATTTTTTTGACGAATTTCGATTCCATTTCTTCGTTAAAATGAAATTCAAATAGCAATTTTAGACGAATTTTAATTTCTCGATTCCATTTGTTAATTATTAAAATTTTATATAAAAATAAAAAAGTCAATAGCAATTTTAGATGAATCTCGATTCCTCGATTCTATTTCTTCATCGATTTGTCGAAATTCCATGTAAGAAAAATGAAATTCCAATGGCAAATGGAGAAATCGATACTTACAGGTTGCGATGAATTTTAGCTAATTATTGTGAATGTCAATCGTGGAAAACAATTTTTTGAGGAATTTCGATTCCATTTCTTCGTTGTAGAAATTCTACATAAAAATAGAATTCTAATAATAAATAAATTTTAGGCGAATTTTAATTCCTTGATTCCATTTCTTAATTATTAAAATTTTATATAAAAATAAAAATTTCAATAGCAATTTTAGATGAATCTCGATTCCACGATTCCATTTCTTTATGGTCGAAATTCTACGTAAAAAAAATGGAATTCCAATGGCAAATAAATTTTAGGCGAATTTTAATTCCTCGATTCCATTTCTTCGCTGTCGAAATTCCATTGTAAAAAATAAAATTGCAAATGCAATGACAAATGCAGTCCAGGAATCAATATTTGCAGAATTAACGCCAGGTCATCGTGATACAATAAAAAGTATTTTACAAGTGCCATCGTGAAAACCAAATCTTAGAATTTTAGAATTTCGATTCCATTTCCTCACTGTCAAAATTATACGCAAAAATGAAATTCCAATGATGAAAATGCAGGCCAGAAATCAATATTTGCAGATGAATTAACATCAGGTTATCGTGAATAAAAAGTGCCCTGCAAGTGCAATCGTGGAAAACAAATTTTAAATGAATTTCAATTCCTCGATTCCATTTCTTCACTGTAGAAATTCTACGTAAAAATGAAATTCCAGTGGCAAATGCAGGTCAGAAATCAGTATTTGCAGATAAATTAACGCCAGACCATCGTGATATAATAAAAAATGTTCTGCAAGTGCAAAACAAATTTTAGAATTTTATAATTTCGATTTTTTATAATTTTTATAATTTCGACATTCCTTCGCTGTCGAAATTCCACTGTAAAAAATAAAATTGCAAATGCAATGGCAAATGCAGGCCAGGAATTCACAAGTACAATCGTGAAAACCAAATTTTAGAATTCGATTCTATTCCCTCGCTGTCGAAATTCCACTGTAAAGAAAAATAAAATTACAAATGCAATGACAAATGCAGGAATCAATATTTGCAGATGAATTAACGCCAGGTCATCGTGATATAATAAAAAATATTTGTTTCA